ATCCGGTGTTATTATTGATATTTTTATTTTTTACAAAACAGTGATCAATGTGAATTTACAGTACACATATATATATATATATATATATATATATATATATATATATATATATATATATATATATATGCAGTGCAGTTCGATAAAAGTGATTCACCTGATTTTTTTTTTACTAAATATTCTCTTCTCCGATTAAACGAAAGTTGAGCTAAATTCAAAGGATAAGCGATCTAAAATCCGAAGAAGAAGCTTTGAAAGCTCTTTGAATTTAGCAGTAAGTACTGTCAAGCATCCGTTCAGTATAATGTTCTGGGGATGCTTTTCTTTTCATGGAACTGGTTTCTTAAAACCTATTGAAAAGACCCTCAGGAGCGAGCAGTACAAGAAAATTTTTACAGTATATATAGTTAGTTAGTTAAACTTAGAGAGCTAGACAAAGCTACCACGGTTTCATCTAAGCGGATCATAACCAACAAAAAAAATGTCAACTATGTCTAGAGGAAAAATTAGCTATAGTTTTATACAAAGAACCTGATCATTTATTAAATTCTAAAACTGAAATTCTAAGTAAATGTAGACATAAAAAACGTTGGTTGTTAGACTAGTTCCCCTCCCACCATTTGTATTGTTTTTGTTTTACCTCGATTTGAATAAATGGTTAACCACCCCCTGTTGTCTGAGTTTTCTTTACCCACTCCCTTTATTTTGTTGGTCACGTGGTTATGATTTTTTGTTTATAGGCTGTAAATAGACTATTAATATTCCATTCTTTCGTTACCTTTTAGCCAGCCTTCCCTGACGATCCACTTAGGTGAAACCTTAGTAGGTTTGTCTGGCTCTCTAGGTTGAACTAGGTCTGCTCTACTTACCGTATCGAGCACTTTATTTAGTTATTTTGCTTACTTGTATCGGTTTTTTCTTTCTTTTGGCTTTGGACTTGCATGCTAGACGATTATTTTCGGCTCACGCACATGTTCTTTTTTTCCCCTTTGGTATTCGCAAATCAAGACACCGAAGGCTTTCCGGACGAGTATAATTTCTTATACTTATACTTATAAGATATATATATATATATATATATATATATATATATATATATATATATATATATATATGTATGTATTGTTTGCTTTATACTATTTAGGTACTGTTCTATTCTTCTGTTATTGTTTCTGCAAAATTTGCCAATTCCATTTGTTGGACATTTATACCAATAACTTTTACCATGGACAATGACTGTATAAAAACAATTATCACTTGGTATCAGAACAAAACATGATTATGTGATCTGATAGGACTAGCGAATGGTTGCATGTAAGTATCATATTGTGATCAGGTCGTAAGTCCCGATTTCGGAATTGGCTCTGGTTATCGCAAAAAAAACAAGGAAAGATAAGAAAATGATGAAAACGGTTACCTTTATCAAAGCAGAAATAATGTAATGATTAAGTGTCTTTTCATTCGACCGTAAAGTTTCCTAATAAATGAAGACTCTCCATCATTTTTTCAGTAAAAATTATTTCCTTTTAGTAAACACGCGAACCTGAAGCTGCTAGAAATGCTCAAGCAAAACAGCAAATTGAAGTCTCTCCTTTCTATTTCTCATTCGCTCACTTCTACTCTCGCCTTCACTGAAAAGTAGTCGGTAAAATTCCCCTACTAAGGGTATTATGAACTATTCAGACTATATGCTTCATGATATTTAACACCCTGAGAAAGAACTCTATCCCGGTGAACATTTATCTAAATCGATGTTCAAGAGATAGAAACGGATCAATTTTCGTATATTGGTCCCAAGAAAACCGTGGAAGCAGGCGGCTCGTTCTACGTCTGAACAAGGACAGTGGTCGCTAAACACCTTTTCAAGATGCTACGACGGTCACCAGACGTTCAAAGAAGACCCTACAACCACATACCCAAACGAATGGGATATTATGACAACGTTACAGTACAATGTTATAAGTGTGAGATATCCAGTGATGGTAGAAGTCATTACGAAGTATGAATGGTTAAGCAATTTGTTTGTTTTGTTTTACAGCCTATCAACCCCAATGAGTTATTTAATGCCGACAAGTTTTTTTATTGCTGGCAATATTTTTTTTATCTATCTATCTATCTATCTATCTATCTATCTATCTATCTATCTATCTATCTCAGTATATATTAGTTTGGTTTGTTTTGTTTTACGGCATATCAACCTCAATGGGTTATTTAACGCCCACATGTTTTTTACTGCTGGTAATTTTTTTTTTTATCTATCTATCTATCTATCTATCTATCTATCTATCTATCTATCTCAGTATATATTAGTTTCGTTTGTTTTGTTTTACGGCATATCAACCTCAATGGGTTATTTAACGCCGACATGTTTTTTACTGCTGGTAATATTTTTTATCTATCTATCTATCTATCTATCTATCTATCTATCTATCTCAGTATATATTTGTTTTGTTTTGTTTTACGGCATATCAACCTCAATGGGTTATTTAATGCCGACAAGATTTTTATTGCTGTTAATATTTTTTTTTTCCAAAAAGTATTTCTGATAAAGTTTTTTTCCCAAAAGTATATTGCTGGTAATATTTTAAAAATATATTTCAGGTAATATTTTTTTTCAAAATATATTGATGGTAATAATGTATTGCTGGTAATAATTTTTCCTTAAAATTTATTGCTTGCAATAAATTTTACAAAAAAAAATGCATTGCCGGTATTACAACCTATTTTTACACTTTCATAATGTTTTGACCCCATAGCTAGGAACTTAATTGGTGCTACCATCCCGAGTTAGGGTAGATCTGGGAACAACATTAAATTAAGAGGTGGTTCTACGCTCCTCAAAACCTCCTGATCAGATGCCTTGTTGCCGGATATAGTTTATCGTCATGCCCAGGACGGATAGTTATAGAGATGAGAACACTAACCATTAATACACTCCTAAACACACGAATGTATCAAAGCTTTTTTTACTACTAAAATTCACCCAATACAAAACTCGCAAGCCACTTAAAATGTAAGCTTAAATATTAATGCAATACTTAAATGCAGCGATCAATTTTGAGTTCTTCTGTAGTTTATTGTTGCCTGTCGCATCTATTCATCCATATCTATGGTGATGAAGGCCCAATCAAGGGCCCTTCGCAGCCTGATAGGGTGACGTTTAATAGAGTATATACAGTAGCGTCCATAATATAAGGAACGGAAACAACAAAGACATAAATATGTGTATTACTTAAAAAGTAATGCATGATTAGCAATGACATTTTTACCGAATAAAGATTCGGGTGTAATGCATAAATATTATACAAAGTTACAAAAATTTACATAATAGTTTTTTTTAAATAAAGATTAAATGGAACAATGGAAATAAGCAACTGGACAAAAGTTAGGGAACGATGTTAATAATTTGCATAAACTTTTAATTTACATTGTTAAAAAAATTCAATCGAGCTTTTCAACAATAAGTAAAAGTTTATTTATCATTAGGACTTTATTTTTAAGCAATATGGCAAATTCTATACGCAAAACGCTCTCTTTTGAAGAAAAAAAAACTCATTATCGCTAACTATCAAGAAAAAAGTCAATTTCAGAAATTTCTGATATTGTTCATAGATCTAAAAGTGTTGTTCATCGAGTAATTAGCAGGTACAAAACCGATAAAACGTTAGATAAAAAACCAAAAACCGGCAGACCTCCAAAAAACATCGCAAAGAGAAGATCGAAGAATTGATAGAATATCTACAAAAACCGTTTTGAAACTGCTACATCAATTGCCCGTAAATTTAATGAAGAGACAGATAATAAGATCTCAAGGAAAACGGTTGCTCGCAGGTTAAAAAATGCAGATTTGCATGCCCGTATTCCAGCTTCGAATCTTCCCGTTTCAAAGCGAAACCAAAGGGCACGCCTGGAGTATGCGAGAGAACATGTTGTTTGGACTGACGCACAATGGGATACCGTTCATTTCAGTGACGAGTCCAAGTTTACTATATTTGGTTCTGAGGACAAAACTTACGTACGCCGTAGAACAGGTGAAATACTGTCTTCTCAATGTGTCAAGAAAACCGTTAAGTTTGGTGGCGGCAATGTGATGGTGTGGGGAATGATTTGATATGCAGGAGTTGGCCCTATCATCCGCGTACATGGCAATATCAATGCTGAGATTTACAAAAGACTTCTTCAGCAGCATGTGGTATCAAGATTACACCATAATCTTTATGAATCTCCTATTTTCATGCAGGACAATGCACCTTGCCACAAGGCTCAGAAGGTTATGGCTTTATTTGAAGAAGAAGGAATCGCCCTAATGAAGTGGCCAGCCCAGAGCCCCGACCTGAATTCAATAGAAAATGTTTGGAAGATAATTGGAGAAAGGGCTCAGAAAAGAAACCCGAAAAACCAGGATCATCTATGGGAGTTATTGAAAGACGAATGGGAGGGAATTACTGCTGATTTTTGAAAGAAATTAATTAGATCATGTGGTCGACGGTGCAGAGAAGTCATTGAAGATAAGGGGATGTTTACCAAATATTAAATTTTGTTGACAATCAAGTATTAACAAGATCGTTCTTTAACTTTTGTCCAGTAGCTTATTTCCTTTGTTCCATTTAATCTTTATTTAAAAATAACTATTATGTAAATTTTTGTAACTTTATATAATATTTATGCATTGCACCCTAATCTTTATTCGGTAAAAAATTTCATTGCTAATCATGCATTACTTTTAAGTAATACACATATTTATGTCTTTGTTGTTTCCGTTCCTTATATTATGGCCGCAACTGTACACACACACACACACACACACACACACACACACACACACACACACACACACACATATATATATATATATATATATATATATATATATATATATATAATGAGGACAGACAGGTAAACAGAGAGACAGACAGTGACAGGGAGATAGAGATAGATAAAATTTCAGATAAATATATCTGAACATGATGAGACAGAAAAGAGAAAAAAATGAAGGAATAAGATTAAAACCTAGAAAGAAAGAAAGAAAGAAAGAAAGAAAGAAAGAAAGAAAGAAAGAAAGAAAGAAAGAAAAAAGGGTGGAATGTAATGACATGAATAAATAAATAAATAAATAAAGAAAGAAAGAAAGAAAGAAAGAAAGAAAGAAAAAGAAAGAAAGAAGTGTTGTAGGTAATTACCTATAGAAAGAAACTAAAATGGGAAGTGGTGAAATACGCCAAGAATTAAAGAAAGAATAAAAGAAAGGCGGTGGGTAATGATATGAAAAATGAATGTGAAAGAAAGAAAGAAAGAAAGAAAGAAAGAAAGAACGAAAGAAAGAAAGAAAGAAAAGAAGGAAAGAAAGAATGGAGAAAATACACGAGGTAAACTAGAAAGAGAGAAAGGAGGGTTTAAAAGCTTAACATATCATAAGAAGACAATACGACAAGTAGGCTTAAAATAGACATTTAGCTGAATAATCTGATGGAGAATGGCGTTTGGTTTTCACTTAACAGCTTTTTCCATTTAATTTTGTTTACCTGTATTTTATCTATTTATCTTAGTAACATTACATTCTTTTTTGTTTGAAATTTTAATTCTGTACTTTTATTTATTTATTAACTATTTTATTTGATTTCAATCAATCGCCCTTCATTCCAGCCAAAGATGAAAACGAAAGCCTTTTTTTTTCTTTAATTTTCCACCTCTTTTCTCCAAATAAAACATACGAATTTTTCCTACGTTTACTTAACCAGATTCAATTTCGGTTTTTGAAACAATTATCTTCCGGGGTGCTGTCTGAAATTATGAGCCGCAATTTTGTCACGACTCGATGGTTTGATTTGGTTTGTTTTACGGCATATCAACACATCAATGGGTTATTTAGTGCTGACAAAATTTTTTATTGCTGGTAATATTTTTTCCAAAAATGTATTGCTAGTAATATTTTTTCCTTCAAAAATGTATTTCTGGTAATATTTATTCTTATGGTCCGGTTCCTTGTACCACGGTGATAGTCCAAGGTAGAACCAATAAAGAAGAACTCGAACACGGATATGAAATAACACAGATATATTACAAACAGGGATATTTATACAAAGAAGTAGGAAGTGTTAGTACGAACAATCAGGTTTCGTAGTAATAGTCTGAACACGGCTCTTTTTCGGACTGCTTCTGACTCGACTGACTCGCTCTGACTGATAGACTCCTGACGGACTTCACTCCAGACTTCAGACTGAACGGTATTTAGTCACCCCCCCCCCACGAGGGCATCATGTGGAACAAGGCCGGTTTAACGTGGGATCTTCGAATCCGTGGGCTTGGCCAAAAATATGCCCTTTGACCCTATATGAACGGGTTCAGGGTCGGTTTACCTCCCCGAAAGAGACTGCGCCCTTCGGCGTACCCTCGTTCGGGTTCCTCTCCGCCCGAAATCTATTTCTGGTAATGCTTTTCCATCAAAATGTAGTGCTGGTAATATTTTTTTTTCAAAAATGTATTGTTGGTAGTAATTTTTTAAAGTATTTCTGGTATTAAAACCTATTTTTACATTTTCATAATGCTTTTACCCCAGTTTCAGGGTTAACTATTTTGCCCATAGCTGGGACCCTAACAGGTGCTATCACCCCGTGTTAGGGTGGACCTGGGAAAAGCAGCGATTAAGAGGTGGTTCCAAGCTCCTCAAAACCTCCTGATCAGAGGACTTGCTGCTGGACGTAGTTTATCGTCTTACCCAGGACGGACGATTCGATGGACCACTCGAACTGGAAATCCTCAGTTTTCTTTTTTTCTTTCACTGAATCATTTTTTTTCGCTTTATTCAGAATAGAGTTTGGGGGAGAGAGAATGTGAGGTTGAACAACAGAAGAGATTTCTTTTTCAGTTCAGCAAGGAACCCAATTCGTCTGTCGACCTCTGACATCACGAAAGTGTGGCTAAACAAGAATGGTGGCCAGCTGAGGAAGAAAGAAAGAAAGAAAAAGAAAAGTGAGCAAATATATGAAGAAAGAAAGAGACAAGGTATGGAGGTAGGTAATTAAAATGAAGAGAAAAAAAGAAAGAAAGAAAGAAAGAAAGAGAGAAAGAAGGAAAGAAAGAAGGAGTGTTGTAGGTAATTACCTATAGAAAGAAAGAGGCTCTAAACGTTAAAACTCTTGGTCATACATAAGCATTGACTTTGCGACTTGCTTTCAGTCAACCACATATATAAATTTACTTTTTACTTTGAATACGATACCTTGTATCTGTCTATATTTCTGTGATGAGGTATTATGTACATTATTTACATTATTCGGACTATTGTCCTCATCTCTGTCGCCACATTACAACGTTTCGGCCGTTGAACGCCCCGGCTTTCTTCAGGTGGTTAGAATGTTGAACTTAATGGCACAGTGGATAAAGACGTTGGTTAGATCCAGTGACAGGCCTGATCAAGCATTGGTTTCTCCTATCAAGGGGGATGCTGGTTCAAATCCTGCCGGAGAACGCATTTTATTTATTTAGTTTTCTCAAGTCTGCAGAGCGGTAGTCGTAACACACACACGGCTAAAAAAAAAATAAACAAAATAAAACAAGTTGCCTACTTGAAACACTGATATCTACTTAGCATAACGTTTGAACTGATAAAAATAATTTGGAGTGTATCTATGAATCTTAACTTACTGTTTTCGATTATCAACCTTTTTTCATTTTAACCATTTTTTTTCTTTCTTTCTTTCTTTCTTTATTTCTTTCTTTCTTTCTTTCTTTATTTCTTTATTTCTTTCTTCTTTATTTCTTTCTTTCTTTCTTTCTTTATTTCTTTCTTTCTTCTTTCCTTCTTTCTTTCTTTCTTTCTTTCTTTCTGTATTTCTTTCTTTATTTTTCTCTGTCATTATTCTTTGTCCTTTTTACTTCTCATCTCTCTTCTTCGTTTTCGTCTTCTTTTTCTTCTTCTTTCATTCTCATAAGTTTATTTTTTTGTTTTAAATCTTTATTTTCTTTTTTTTGGTTGCCCTCTGTATTTCTCTCCTTATCTTTAAATACACCGTAATATTTATGTCTGTTTTAACACCTTTCCTTATTTTTACATTAAAAAAAAATTTCTTCCTTCCAAATTAGAATCCATCCATTTTTCAGTCAGTTTCCCTTTTTAAAAGGGGTGGGAAGATGTTAATTCCGACAATTCAGTAACGCTGGTGTTGAAGAGCAAACCTCTCGGGTGTGGCAGGTGGTAGTTACTTTGTTAGGAAGGATGGAAAAAAAATTCAAGAGAATTAAGAAAGGACTAACAACTCGGCAGTGTCATGACGAACGGATGTGAATTTCCCCTTTGCTTCTCTGTTGTTTTCTTTCTCTCTTTTTTTTTTTGGAGGTGGGGTAATAATAAAAATAAGGGGTGATGGGTCAAAAGCAAGTGTCCCTGAAAACTAAAAGAAAAAGAAAAAAAAAAGCAAGGCAACATTTCATAAAGCTCTCATTAGAAAAATGACATCAACTTGCCTTCATCATTAACACAGGTCTTCATCGTTAGTAACATTACCAGTTTTTTTTTTAATATCGTTTTGTTTAGAATATTTCAATTTCTTACACTCTCTTTTTTCTTCTTCTTCTTCTTCTTCTTCTTCTTCTTCTTCTTCTCTTGTGATTCTATCTTTTTCTTCCTTTTCAGCTTGTTCTTTATCGTCTTTTACTCTCTTGTAAGCGATTCTCTCTCTTTATTTCGATCTTATGCAATATCCTTCTCCATTTACACTGTTGTCTGATCATTCAGTCACTTTAGCTTCTCTTTCCTTTCTCCATTTCAACGTCTTCCTTTTACTGCTTCCTCCTTTCTTTCTTTGTCCAACTTCTTCTTCTTCTTCTTCTTCTTCTTCTTCTTTTTCTTCTTCTTCTTTTCATTCTGTTGTGGATTCCGGGATGAAATCCGGTCTCAAATGAATGACAAACGCAGAATTGAAATATAGCAAATACATGTATTGACGTAGTAATATGGTTAGTAGATCCAGAAATGCGGTTAGTAGCAATAATAATATATATACAGTCTGGGAAATTCAGTATCGAAGTAGGACTTCCTTCTGAGTCCTACGTGCTCGCAACTGTAACTCCTATAAAGCGGTTACCTCACATTCTCACTCTCTCACTGTATCACTCTCTGGGTATTCACCGGCAGCAGTACAAGTACACACTGGTCGAGTCCACTTGTATAAAAAGGGGTGGAACCCCTTAACACTTTCTTTCAAGACATTTCCTGATTTGAAGCCTTTCTTCCTTACTTTCTTTCGTTCTTCTTTCCTTCTTTTCTTTCTTTCTTCATTTTTTCTTTTTTTGTCTTTTCAAAATATATTCATTCTTTTCCTTATCTCATCCTTTTCCCTTTTTATTTACTTCAAGACATTTCGAGATTTGAGACCTTTCATTCTTTTTTCTTTCTTTCTTTCTTTCTTACGTTCTCTCTTTCTTTTTTCTTTCTTTCTTTCTTTCTTTCTTACGTTCTCTCTTTCTTTTTTCTTTCTTTCTCGATTTCTTTTCTTTTACTCATAGCTTTGTCATTGTTTTCCAGGTTTTAAACTTTCTCGTTCTTTTTTCGTTCTTTCTTCTGTCTTTTTTTGTACACTTTTCTTTCTTAATTATTTACATCAATCTATATATTTGTTTCTTTTTATTACTCTTCCAGAGTGCGCCTAAATGCTTACCAAGATAATTTCATGGCGTGTGGCCAAATGAGTATTTTTTTTTTCAACATTATCCCCCTTGTGGTTCACACACTTCTTCCATCGGTTTTACCGCGCATGGATTTCATTGGGAAGAATCTTTAATCCTGTTGGCTAAATAAGTCATGAACAGCAGATATGACGGCAATATTACTGCGATACAAGCCAAAGGTTTATTCATGTTGGGAGCAGATGATAGTGATATAGAACCAAATCAAGAAAATAGACAGAGTGATCAAACAGTTCAATCTCTCCGTCACGCACAGCAACCATGGCACTAAGGACGTGTCTTAGGGCATTTTTATGATGAAGCAAGACTCTTTCATCAGTTTGTTTTTCCTTGGGGTGGTGGTCTTGATATCCTATCGTAACTGTCTTTGCAAGTTGGCATAGTACTCTCTATTGATGGTGTGAAGCTTTTGAAAATATTCAATGAGCACAATGAAATCCCAAGAAACTGAGGCCATCACCTTCCCTGGAGATGAAATGATCTTAGTCTTCTTTGGAGCGGGCGAGGAGGGAGGAATTTATACTGCATGGTTTGTCTCTTTCTCTCCGACTCAAAGTGGTGAAGACAACACTCAACCTTGGTGAGGAAACGTTCAAGGAAACCAGCTGTATCTGCCTCAAACAATGTCAGATTTTCCTGCAATGTCATCGGCCTGGTGACATATGATTAGGTGTCAAAAGATACGGCAGCCGCCGAATAAAAACCTTCGCCATGCCAAATTCATTGTACAAAATATTCTCAATTCTCTCACGGGATATGATATTTATTCTGTAATTATACAGAAATGTGGCACAAGGCCGAAATAGGGGAATGGGGAGAGGACGGTCTTCTTCTGTCTTAATTTTAACTTAGCTAGCCGCAGACACTGACCCAATCGTACGAATAATATTCCTTACACCAAAACAACACTTTCATACGTACCTTTCAAACTACAAGCACCATAATACTTCATCGTCTCTATGAACTAAACTAACTAATCCCCATATATACAATTCAATGTCTGTGTGGGGGGGATAAAACAATAATTCTAAAAATTAACCCCAATGAGTATTTACAATATGATCACAAATCTATTTACAAGAAATTAAAGAAACTATTATTAGTAATAACCCCCCCCAATCACTAAATGTGGCAGAAATACCAGTTCACTGACCGAAATCAATGCGGGACTATAATAGTATAAGACAATCATTCATCCCACGCACACACACTAACACGTACTCATTCAAACACAACAACAAATACGAAAACACTCACGCGAAACGAAAGGCGTCCCGCATCCACCGGAGAACTGACATCACTGACCACCTAAAGAGGGAAGGGATGGGTGATTAAACTTAAAGAAAAAAAAAAGATGGGACAGAAATAAAAATGCTAACAGCATTGACTATTTGATTTATATTCAATCCCCTTGTCATCCATTACCATGTGGTGAACACGATCAATGATTTCCTCGGTGGTGGCAGTTACAGGATATCTAAACATTGTCTCATCTTCAAGATTCTCCGTTCACCTCCTAAATTCAGCTGCCCACTTTTGCACTGTTTGCAAAGCTGGGGCGTCTTCCCCTAACGCAGCGACCATGTCAGAATGAATGACTTTTGAGGCTAAACCCTTTTTCTGCAGGTATTTGATAAGGCTACCAAACTTTGTCCATTTTCAAGAATGGTCGCTACAGATTATATTTAAATTCTTCGTACTACCAGTTTATCTGGAACGAAACAATGCATTTATAAAAAAAAAAAGAAGAATGGCAATTAACGAATGCAAGGTTTCACAGCTCTAGCATTACTTCTTCAGAGTCCGCCTATGAAGTTTTCTACAAACACTTATTTTTCAAAATTAAAAAGAAAAAAAAAACTTTTTCTTTTTTCTTCACTTTTTCTTTATTTCAAGGGTTTATTCAATCTTTGTTTTTTCTTTCTGGTTTTAAACCTTTGATTTATTTATTTGTGTACTTTTCTTTTATATATATTATTTTCTTTTTCAAAATTAAAAACAAATCAATTTTTCTTTTTTACTCGTTTTTTCTTTCTTACAAAGATTGAATCATTGTTTTTATTCTGATTTTAAATCTTTTCTTTCTTTCATTTTTGTACACCTTTCTTTCTTATTCAATACTTTCTTCTTCAAAATTAAAAAAAATCATTTTTCTTTATTCACTTTTTCTTTTTTTCAAAAATTTATTCATTGTTTTTATTCTGATTTTAAATATTTTCTTTCTTTCTTTTTGTACACTTTTCTTTTTAATACTTTCTTCAAAATTTTAAAAATTCTTTTTCTTCTTTAATCATTTTCTTTCTTTCAAAGAGTTATTCTTTGTTTTTATTCTGATTTTAAATATTTTCGTTCATTCTTTCTTTCTTTCTTCGCTTCTTTCTTCGTTTCTTTCTTTCTTTTTTTATCTACTTGCTTGCCCGCTTGCTATTTTCCCTTGTTATTTTTGTTGCCCTTTCCTGTTTTTCTCCTTTTCATATTTATTTACATTTAAAACCTTTCCTTTTTTTTTTTTCGCTGTCTCAGATCTCGCTTTCTTTTTATTCTTTCTCATTGTTGTCTCCAATTCTTCACTAAGATATTTAGTTATTTTTTGAATTTTTTTTCTATCAATATTCACTCAAGGTAGACGGTTACTGTATGGCGTTGTATTAGCGTAAGAAATGGCAAAATAACAGGAAATATAGATAGCTAATTCTAGACTTGAAGAGGTGAAGATTTAATTAGCGAATAAAATTTAAAATTTCAGAGTTGAAGAAGACTTTAGAACGTATCCTAAGCAGGAAGCAAGGGTTCAACCTCTACTCCTGTTCAAAGGACATATTGATAGGAGAAAAAATATTACTGATTAAAATTTCGAAATTCAGGCGGAGACATCAGAAGTTCAGAGTTGTAACAACCGGAAGCCCAATCCTAATTAGGAAACAAGCGATAAACCTCTATTCCTGTTAAAATAATCGGGGACGAGTATGAGATGGGAGAGAAAAAATTATTAGGTTGGTGCAAAAATAATGACGTAATAATGTCGTTTTGTGACGTATTTTTTAACGTTAAAAAACGACATTCTTACGTCATTATTTTTGCACCAACCTAATAATTAGTGAAAAACAATTCAATATTCAGGCGGTGACGTCAGAATACAGATTTGGAATAGATTTTAGAAGGAACCGAAAACCCATTCCTAAACAGGGAACAAGGGTCAAACCCCTACTCCTGTTAAAAAAAAACTGTGGAGTAGAGTGAACTGGCAAGTCTATCTACTTCGATTAGCCGAGTGGAAAAGAAAGACTATATAATGATACGAATACATTCCGAGCACCCAAAACATCTTTTTTACCTGGTTTTGAAAATTGATAATACATATTTCGGTCATGTGATCGAATACAACTTCCCATAATTCCTCAGAATTAATCATAGTCACCACAAACAGTCTTCGTTCTTTAAAATTCTGTTCCCATTTCCTCTTTCTACCGGGTGATTGAAAAATAACTGTTTTATGTATGAGTCGCCAGTCCTGACTTAACACCCTGTGACTTTTTTTTCTACTATTCCAAACCAAGATTTTGGAAGAACTTTAAGGGCGAATACAAGAAGTTATGTCTTCCATATCACAAGAGTTCTTACCTGGCGTTATGCTGGGGGTTTTGACAAATATTGGATCGTTTCTTGGCCTATGGCTGAGATTCGATCAAGGCTTCGACTAGCTTGGACTGGCTCCGGCCTGGACTTGCTAGGACAAGTCATGACCAGCTTTGACTAAGCTCTGACCAGCTTGGACATGCTTTGACCAATTTTGACCAGTGGCCTTTGAGTGGAAACACTCGGGTTTCCCACGTTAATCGACCTTGTGTCACATCTTGACCTTGTGGAAATCAAGTAAATACCCATATCACAAGAGTTCTTGGTGAAACAAGCTAATGTGATTCCTGCGTGGCTCGAGAAGCTGGTAGCAAAATCTGGTAGCCATATTGAATTTTAAATAAAACCTCATGTTAAATGCTTTCCTCTAATATCCATTTCTTTTAATAATTATAGCTAATAAATAAATTATAAGTATTGAATATTTTAAAATGAGGAGTTACTTTACAATCACCATATAGTTTGTCTTTTTTTTATTTCTTCAAATCTTGCTTTTTCCACTCGACTTTCTCTCTGCCTTATATCTTAATTTCTGACATTTTCTTTGTTTCTTTGAAATTACTTTCATGTATTTCATCGCACCATTCTCCATCTTGATTCTCTTTGTCTGCTGTTTGTTTTTCATGTCATTCATAACTTCTTTAATTCCTTTCGTTTTGAACAACTCTCTTCTTAATCTAGCTTCCTTCATTTTTTTTAAATCTTCATGGCGCACCTTTCGTTCATTTGTATCAATTTCTTTTGAAAATGTACTCAATAATTCTTCGACTGTATTTTTCCATCCTTCTTCATTTATTTTTTTTATTTTTGCTTTTTAATTTAATGTCATTCCCTCAGATTTTTTTATACGTACTTTCGTCGTTGTCTGATCCGGCATTCACATTCTATAGGATTTTACGTTCTTCTTGTTTGAGTTGTCGTCTGCTTCTTCCTTGTCGTCATCCATTATTGCCTTCTCGTTTTTAACTTTTATTCTTGCGACCGTTTCCAATCTTATGGGCCCTCATTTATTTTTTTTAGCGAAGTCTTCTGCGCTCCCTAAAACCTTCGTCTCCTTCTTCTCAACCTAAAACCTTACTTTAGCCCAAATAATTAGCCATTTGAAACATTTTTTTCAGGACAGAGTCCGAGAGAGCGGGAATCATGTGTACGAATTCATTTTCTCTAATTAGGCAGTAATAACGATAAAAAAAGTCGATGGTAGGGTAGAAAGAGAAAAAATAGCATGAATAAAGATAGAATCGGAATTAGAAGTGGGAATAAATTAACAGCTAAAAGAAAAAAGAGGCATTTGATTAGACGTAGAGAAACGCAACACAGTCTTTCTACACCATTCCGTTTTCTTGGTTGTATGCATTGGCATGTTAAACTTTGTTAATATCGAAAAGAAGAAGAGTAGAATAAAAAGTAGCAAAATATGAAAGAAAGAAAGAAAGAAGTGGAGGACAAGAAAAAAATTTAAAATAGGGAGAGTGTAACGGGAAAAATTAATGAGTGACAAGAAGAAATAGAACAAAAAGAGAATAAGAAAATTTATGGACAAGAAGATGAATAAGAAGAAAACGTAGAGAGCAAGAAGAAGAAAGAGAAAAACTGGAGTAGAAAAAGAAGAAGAAAGAGACTTTAAGAAGAAGAAGAGAAAGAAGAAGACTTGAAGAAGAAGAAGAAGAAGAAGAAGAAGAAGAAGAAGAAAGAGACTTGAAGACGAAATGAAAGAAGACATGAAGATGAAAAAGAAGAAAAAGAATTGAAGAAGAAGAAGAAGAAGACTTGTAGAAGAAGAAAAAATGACTAAAAGAAGATGATGACAAAAAGAAAGATAAGAAAACATGAATAAAAAGACTTGAAGAAGACATGAAGAAGAAGACATGAAGAAGAAGACATGAAGAAGAAGAAGAAGAAGAAGAAGAAAGAGACTTTAAGAAGAAGAAGAGAAAGAAGAAGACTTGAAGAAGAAGAAGAAGAAGGAGAAGAAGAAAGAGACTTGAAGACGAAGTGAAAGAAGACATGAAGATGAAAAAGAAGAAAAAGAATTGAAGAAGAAGAAGAGGAAGAGAAAGAAGAAGACCTGGAAAAAAGAGAAAGAAAACTTGAAGAAAACTTGAAGAAGACGAAGAGAAAGAAGAAGACGAAGTCTTGAAGAAGAAGAGTAGAAGAAGAAGAAGAAGAAGGAGAAGAAGAAGAAGAAGACTGGGGATGATCTAGGCTTTCGAGTATTCCTTGATAAAACTTTACGGGTATTCTATGGTAAGATTTCCTAATGCAAAACGCTGAGCCTACACACTCTTCCTGAATTTAATTCTTCATTTTTACATTGTTATAAATTGATCCTCCAATGAGAGGATAATAGAAATAGATAGGTTTTCCTACAGCCTGGTTCACACGCCGCCCTAATTTTTTGAAAAATGGTAAAGGTTTATCCCATGCTTCGTGTTCTTAAAACTCTGAACTTTTATTTGCTATTTATTTTTATTAAACAATTTTGTTCATCAATAGGAGTTGATTAGTTTGTCTATCATCCGATTCACACACTTTCTCAATATTTTGAACAGGAGTAGATATTTTTCCTGTTTAGGACTGGGTTTCCAGTTCCTTCTAAAATCTTTTAACTTCTCTTTCCCTTCCAGTGGCCCCTTGCGTCTTGATGGCATTATCATCTTACTTGGGGCGGTACCTCTTCTTCTGTAACCATCTACCTAGTGTGGCTTTTGGACTTGTGCAGGGTGAACGTCATTGTAAAACAAAAGATGTTACAAGATACCGAATAGAAAAAAGTGAAAAAGGAGAGAGTCATGAAGAATAAGATTTGTCTAAGTACTCACCAGGATCGACGTTGTTTAACTTCGGTGGTCGTACGAAAGCTATTGGTTCAACGTGATATGGCCGTAAGACTCAGAGTTAATATGAGCTCATATTTCAAGCTTTGATTTTTCCAATCTTCTTCTTCTTCTTCTTCTTCTTCTTCTTCTTTATGCGCCGTCTCCCCTCAAGATCTTGGCGATCATGGCTCTCCACATTCTCTTTCTTTTGTACTTTTCTATAAATTATGTCTTTTTGTTATTTTTCCTAAACCCTGTTCTGCCATTCATTTAATTAAGTTCATAAAGTATGTTATGCGTCGTTTGCCTGTCCTTCTTCACCTCAATCTGTCTTGTGAGGATCAGATTTTCCAAGCCCTCCTTCCTCATTAGGAATCCCAGAAATATTAACTGTCTCATCCTGTTTGTTTTCTTTTGTTTTGTTTTACGGCATATCAACCACAATGTGTTATTTAATGCCGACAAAATTTTTATTGCTGGTAATGTGTTTTTCTTGAAAAATTGATGTAATTTTTTTGCATTGCTGATAATAATTTTTCCTTCAAAAATTATTGCTGATAATATTTTCTTTTTAACAAAGTATTTCTGGTATTAAAACCTATTGTTGCACAAGTTTAAGTCTTAACTATTTGCACATAGCTGGGACATTAACAGGTGCTACCACCCCGGGCCAAGGTGGATCTGGGAACACCAGCAATGAAGAAGTGATCAGAGGCCTTGCTGTTGGATGTAGTTTATCGTCTTACCCAGGACGATGTCTCATCCTGATGTTAAATATTAGTTTCTTTTTTGTTTCCATTTTTTTCTTGTCGTTACTTACATGTTAGGTCCTTGGTATCATCAACATCCTTCTGTAGAGCCACATTTTTGTTGCTTCAAGTCTCTTCCTCATCTTTGAGGAGATTGTTCAGCATTCCCTGCCATCACGTAACAGTTCAGTAATCTTTTGTTGTCTATAAGAAAGATTTTCACTTTCATTAAAACAATATTCATCGTATTTATTCCTTGTGTTATTCATTTTTGCCAAAGATCTCAAACAGTTTTTTCTTTGTTCGTTATTATCTACAGTGCTGGCCATGGCGGTATGATTGGCGAGCCACTTTATCTGAGCAATTACTGATTGCAGAAAAAGATTTGTACTTTGAGCTAGTTAAAATCGTTACCATCACAACGAATATCTCTCATCAAAAACTTTCATCTCCAGTCGACTCTCCTATTAGACGCATCTGCCAACTAGAATTGATTTTTCTGAATAAAGGAGAAACCAGAAAAGGAAATTAATGAAACTGTTAAGTTTTAACAATGAGAAATTGGCAAAAGAAAAGAAAAACTGAGCCTAAACAAAAACCCAGTGGGAAAATACAATACTTTATGGAATCGTCTGAGAAAATAATTTCTACCTTGTATGACTAACCTCCAAGAGAGTGACATTGCGCCTTCTAGGGTAAAGGTTTTCTCTTGACATGAAGTTGAAAGATTAAATTGAATCAGTTTCTTGGTCTGCTACTAAGAAAATTAGTTCATGGTATCGTGATAGACAATTTTTGTCAACCGAATCTATCTTTCATATTTATAAATAAGATAGATTAATTTTTTAACTGAGCTCATATTTCCAACTATGATTTTCCCTTCTTCTTTCTTCTTTATGCGCCGTCTCCCCTCAAGATCTTGGCGATCATGGCTCTCCACATTCTCTTTCTTTTGTATTTTCCAAAAATTTTGTCTTTTTCTTATTTCTCCTAAACCCTGTTCTGCCATTCATTTAATTAAGTTCATCAAGTATGTTATGCGTCGTTTGTCTGTCCTTCTTCACCTCAATCTGTCCTGTGAGGATCAGATTTTCCAAGCCCTCCTTCCTCATTAGGAATCCCAGAAATATTAACTGTCTCATCCTGTTTGTTTTCTTTTGTTTTGTTTTACGGCATATCAACCTCAACAGGTTATTTAATGCCGACAAAATTATTCGTCTATGCTTTGAATATTGACTGTGGCGAGAAGAGATTCCTAGTGTTCCACAAAACTTTCAACCGTTTTCGACACAAACTCATTTTTTTTTTTTTGTTCCCAATAGACAATGTCAAAAGTTTATCATAAAACATTGTAAAGGAACTGTTTATCTCGCGGTTCAATTAGCTATTTCCATGAATTCGATTTCCACATTTGCTCCGCTTTTGTTATCTTGTGCCAGTCTACGCTAATGCTAACAAATATAACGCATTTAATTCTAGTTCCCGTTGGCGCTTTTTTAAAATTCTTTTTTTTTTTTACAATTCTTTGTTATTTTCATCCAATTTTTTTCTCTTGAACCACAATATTTTCTTCACTTCTTTTTCTTCAGTCTTTGTTTCGAACCTTCTTCTAAAACATTTTACTGAAGACATATCACCGAATTCTTCCTTAGTCTTCGTTCTATCACCCCTTCCTAAAATCTCATCAGTCATTTATTCACAGTCCTATTTTATATTGGTCAACATTCACTAATTTTTTTTTTTTTTTTATCGACAAGCAGATGACAGTAAATCAAAATGGCGGAAACGTTTCGGTCCACTACGTCATTTCGTCCTCTTTTTAAAAATTTCCGCTGCAACTTTATGAACCTGCGCCGGAAGTTCACACTTCATGCTTCATTTTACCAAACATCCGGTTCCACTTTAAACTGAAAAGACGCCATATTTGAATCAAAAAGTAAGAAAAAATGAAAATAAGAAAAATTAAAACGATGTAAAAATAACAATTAAATTAAATTTAAAAGAAAAATATTTCAATTTTAATTCTTGAAAAAAAAAATCCATGACACGTGACCCAGGGGAATGATGAGCTTAAATTGCCGCTGTCGAAGAATAGATTAAAAATGACCTCGAGAAATAATTTCAGAAATCAAATTAAAAAAGAACGCAGTAAAAAATATGTTCATTTGATTAAAAAAAAAAAAAAAAACAGACGTAAAGGAGAGACAAGAATAATTCCCTTAAGTATAAAAAGGTATGTATGTATAGCTGCCCACTAGTATTCGAGGATACTCTTCTACTCGGGCGGCTTGCTAATCCCTATTGCATACGCTTGCTCAGGCGCATTTGTGTTTATGCAACACTCACAGAGAACACCTGTGGTTTATAATGCAACTATGCTGAGTAGACCTTAGTTACAGTTTCTGGGAAACGAGCATGTTATCTTGATCAACAATTTGAACAAGACCAGCACACTCAAACCCTCAGACACGATAACTTGTAACTTCGTGCTAATGTTCCGTCTACCCAATTTCACTCACAAGGCTTGGATCAACCCGTCGTATGGTTTTCAGGCACTTTCCAAAGCTGCCACACGCTGGGATCGACCCCTCCTGTCCGATAGCATCAGGAAGTTTCCTTCCTGACAAATCGACCATGGTGAGATTTGAAACCGATTCAGAATGGTTAGAATGCTAACATGCTAACCACTCGGCCACGTGCCCAAGTATAAAGCTAATGCGATTCTAATTGACGGTCAAAAATAAATTAATTTAAATAAAGAGTTTATATCTGAAAAGATATTGTCACTGTACAAACTATTTCTAAATTTTATAAACGTGTTATAATTTTCGTCTAGTATTTCCTTCATCTTAATTTCAGTTGTTTCATAGCGCAATGGATGTGCGGCTGGTGTAATCTTTTGGGAAGGTATAAATCCATAGCTTCTGCTCCCCAACTATGGATTAAATATCACGACATTTATATGAAAAAAAAATCACTTTTATCTCCAAAAACTGTTTATGCAATATTCACTAAACTAAAAAGAACTATTCCTACAATCTAAAATATGTATCGGTTCTAAGTAACACACAAAAAGTTGATTATCTGTACAAAACGAAAACTATCAATGTCCTCATCTACTACAACCATAGTCACTAAATACACAAGGGGTCACTGAGTGTGAGAGAACAATAAAAAAAAACAAGAATTAAGAAGGCAAAAGATAACGATTAACATTTCATTTAAATCTTTGAAGATTAAACTTGACCGGAAATCAATAAACCGGAAGAGAATTCCACAAGCGAGAAGTGCGAGAAAAGAAACAGTTAACATACAAAGAACGGTAAATGCGACACTGAGATCTGTAGACGTATTGGGAAGACCAAAGACGAATTCCAAATGCTGGGAAGTGTATTGCGAGACAGAAGGATTTCTTTGCTAACAAATAAGAGTAACGAGCTGCTACGTGAGATGTGTCCTTCTTTACGGCAGCGAATGTTGGACGATTTCCTCAAAGATGA